TGTCAGTCAAAAGCCAGGATTCAAACTCCTTTCTCATGTAATGCTTAAACGGATTGCTGTGTGGCTAAAGTTGGTTAGTCATGTCGCCAGGAACCTCAAACAAGTCACCCCGCTTTTGCATGATTTAATTTTTGACTTGTTTGGGCAAAAATATTCACGAAATATATCAAGTACTAGCATGCTAGATGGGTTACGAAGACTTTTCAGGACGACTGTTCCAAAGAATATTTAATGATAGTCTTCCATAAACTCTACCGTCATCCATCCATTTTTTGTGCAGGAACAATAACATGCTTGGCAAAAATTTTACGTATAGTTTCTTTGATTTAAATTTAAATATGGTAGCAACTTTCTATCATCAGCGGGGGTGCATAGTTTCACAGTGATACGCTGCTTTCTGTAGCTTGTGCTTATAATCTTGACTTCTTTAGCACCGTTACCGCTGACGGTGTAATTTCGACACATTTCGACGAAGACCGAAGTTTTATATGCATTTGCAACTTGATTTAACCCAGTTTCTTTTTTCCTTAATTTGATCGCATGTTGCAGAAAGTTAATCAGCTTATGCTGAAAGTCTGCAGGAAATTTCTGCCAGGTAGATGCTAGACACCTTAAAGATAACAACCTACGATGCATGAGTCTGTCGCAATCGCCGTGACAGCTTTTAAAACATATTTCCTTTATTCAGAGGGATTTGGCAATCTCTGACTTTCATAAATTGTTCTTCATATTTTTGATTCCGGACCCATGGTCGTTTGAATGATTCACGGTTCAGGGCACCAAACGCAGCAAATGTTAAACCGTTTAATCAAAACGCGTTTCATCGCACAGACCGCAGCATCATCGGGGCTGGACGGAACACAAATGACTGGATGTATTTATGTCCAACGAGCGAACAATGCCAATTTTTTCAACTGGCTCATCACACAGTCAAAACATAGTTAAACTGTCTGAACAAAGTACAATGTTCACATCAAAATAAATCGGATCTTTGTCATTTTGACCAGATTCAGCGTATCAGTTTTGTGATCGCGCTCCAACTTTTACTGATAACAACAGAAGATGTATACTCGCTGTACATCCAGTTTTTCATTGCCAGTATGTGCATGGACTCCTTTATCAGTAGACCTAATTTAGACTGGTCTTTGTCTATGACAGACACATTAGTCTGACTGAAAATATATCCTTCAGCAATACCAGAACTGTGAGCCTATCCAAGGCAGACCGCGGCAAAGTGCTTTTATGCGAATATTCAATTTCCGGCTGGTCTTTCCAGTGTACACCTTGTCGCAGTTCCTGCCCTGAACTTCGTAGACAACATCTGACACCTTCAGGGTAATTATTGGGCATGTACTTTTATATAGAATTTCGTCAAAAGTTCTGCCAGTCTTGCAGCAGACTCTAAAAACCATGTTATTAAGGTACCGCGTGATATGTTGAGATACTTGGGGTATGAATGGTAAAACTACCATTGGTTCATATGAACAAGCCAACTTCAAATTTGAGCCACGGTGCAAAAGTTCTTCATCAAGGATCCTTCTACGATAGCCGTTCTTTAGAAACGCTTGATGAAGATGTTAGGTTTCTGCGTTTAGACCAGAACTATTAGCACAGATTGGGTTCACAAACACGTTTTTCAATACGTTCCTAAGTAATTCAGGAGAGATATGACACTGAGTGTAGGGATCGGTCGGAATATGCTAGTTTCCGATACACAGAAACCTCTATTCAAAAGTTGGAGTCCTCTTCACCAGCTCGTCCAGAAAAGATAGAGAGTAGTTAACTTCCATAATAAAGCGTATTCGGCTATTTTTATCTTGTCCATTCATGTAATTCACGAAACATCCCAACCTTTTCAGTTCGTTTCATTCATTGGAACAATGGGAAAACGCAATTAACGAATCAGACATAGAACAGCGGTACGAATTCTGGCGGGAATTCATTAAGGGCTTTCACCTCCAGGTGGTCCATAAAAAGATCATCTAAAACAACATTAACCAGAGAGCCCATCGAAACGTCATATATCTGGTGGTAAGTATTGTTCGCTAACTTGAAACAAGTACCATTCATCACAAGGCTAAAGGTTGTCATTAAAACATCATAGCTACAATTCTTAACACGTTTTCAGACGCCTTCCACTCCTCTATCATGTTCTTCAAGATGTCGGGTAGGATGTTAGCCAGTGTGTTTTTATTCACATTATTGAAAAGGGCAGTGACGTCTAACGAAGCCATGACGCAACCTTGATTATCATATTCTTTCAGTCTGAATAGAAACTCCCCTCTGTCACTCTGTAAGTCATTCACGGCAGGCTTCAGAAATCGATCCAGATCTTTAGCAATTTGATATATTACTGTTTCCCTAGTCGGTATGATAACATGCAACGGGTTGCCAGGCCTACGGAGTTTTAATAATCCATAAGATCTTTAGGCCATACAGGAATCAACATTAGGCAGGGATTATTTGTACACCTTCTTGGGTGACGACCTTCCCATTTTGCAAATTCCTTAGAATCTTCAGCAGCTACTGGCGTTTTGTCTCGCCAGGGTTCGTACTACTTCGAAGTTTGGTGTACCCATCGTTACTCCTGACGCGATTCAACATTCCAGCTTCATATTTATTAACAGGCATCACCACTGCTCTCGCTCTTTGTCAGCGCAGAAGACTATTATACTGTTATACATTCTGGGTTTCAGCTGCATAGTTTGTCGAGTGATGGGTAATCAT